ACAGTTACGTCACTATGTACTGCCTTTCGTCACAATGTTTGGCTTACATCACTACGTACAGTTTACGTCACTATGTACTGCCTTTCGTCACAATGTTTGGCTTACATCACTACGTACAGTTTACGTCACTATGTACTGCCTTTCGTCACAATGTTTGGCTTACATCACTACGTACAGTTTACGTCACTATGTACTGCCTTTCGTCACAATGTTTGGCTTACATCACTACATACAGTTTACATCATTACGTACAGTTTAAATCATTACGTACAGTTTACATCACTACGTACAGTTTACATCACTACGTACAGTTTACATCACTACGTACAGTTTACGTATATGTATTACCTACATCACTAAGTACGGTTTACAACACAATGTACCGCCTACTGTAACGTACCATCTGCATCATGACATACAGTCTGTGTCACAGTGTACGGCCTCTTTCAGAACGTACGCTGACGGATTGTAGACAGGCACGGGAACTGACAAACAGCCCAAATCANTACAGTTTACATCACTACGTACAGTTTATGTCTATGTATTACCTACATCTCTACGTACAGTTTACGTCTATGTATTACCTACATCTCTACGTACAGTTTACATCACTACGTACAGTTTATGTCTATGTATTACCTACATCACTACGTACAGTTTACATCACTACATACAGTTTACGTCACTACGTACAGTTTACATCACTACGTACAGTTTACGTCACCATGTACAGCCTTTCGTCACAATGTTTGGCTTACACCACTATGTACATTTTACATCTATGTATTACCTACATCACTAAGTACGGTTTACAACACAATGTACCGCCTACTGCAACGTACCATCTGCATCTTGACATACAGTCTGTGTCACAGTGTACGGCCTCTTTCAGAACGTACAGATTACATCGTTATGTTCAGTGTTCATTTTACATCACAAGTACAACCTATGTCACTACAAATGGTTTGCATCACAACATATGGTTTACGTCACTTTTTACTGTTTATATCCATGTAAGGCCTATGTAACTACATATGGCCTACGACACTATGTACGATTTATTTCTCTAAGTAGGGCTTACATTACTATGTACGGTTTACATCACTTTGTACGGTTTATTTCTCTAAGTAGGGCTTACATCACTATGTATGGTTTATTTCTCTAAGTAGGGCTTACATCACTATGTATGGTTTATTTCTCTAAGTAGGGCTTACATCACTATGTATGGTTTATTTCTCCAAGTAGGGCTTACATCACTATGTACAGTTTACTGCACTATGTATGGTTTACATCACTGTATGGTTTACATTTATGTGTATAATTTATGTCAATATGTACTGACTTACATCACAACATACGGATAACGTCACAAGTATTGTCTATGTCATTACATACTGTCTTGTGTCAAAATATAGGGTTTACGTCTCTACAAACTGCCTATGTCACAATGTAYGGCTCATGTCACTAATACAMCCACAGCACCAGCTAGTGACCTGGCATGGAAACTAGAGTGTTCAACATATTTTACAATCTATTCTAAACAGCGATTGCGAACAAAGCATTACTGTGAAAATGTGTCAATGTTTTTATAACCATCAAAAATATATCTGTATCATTCCAGGAGACCTTTGACATGTAAACTGGTTCTTATTTGTTTAGGAGATGAGTGCGTTCATGTTCTTTTACACCAGTAAAGTTTTTAAGAACGTTGTTTTATTAGCCTGAAAAACAATTTAAAACATACAAGCCCTTGTTTGGCTTGTTTTTTGTGAGGTTAAATTTCCTGTAATCACCTTTTTTTCTGTTATTTCAGGAAGGACTCATGCCAGCATGAGTGGACCACACCGAGTCCCTGAGAGGAAACCTCATCAGTCCAGTTGCACTCTGACCCCGGCCCGTGACCTGGCTGACACCTCCAGACAGCACCACCAAACAATCGGCCTGAACATGTCCACCACCACCTCCTCCCTCAAGCATTCCTCTATCTACAGGTTCACTCAAACGGACCACTTGTCTTCCTCATCGTCTTACAGCCCCCTTAGGAGGCTGCAACATCTCACCACCATGGTGAGCCAGCCAAACCTGGTCCTTCCTGTGAGGGATCCCGAAAGGAGCTGGGACCGGGGGGCAAAAGGGAAGGGAAAGACGCCGGACAGGGACGCCTGGGTCGACTACAGGGATTATTCTGTCTCACAGAYTACAAACAGAGAGGAGAACTGTGCTAATTCTCCTTTTGGACAGAAGCAACTCAAGMTCCAAAGTGGAAGCAGAAACCTGCCTCCTGCAAATAGTAACGGTTCTGTTGTTTCAGAGAAAAAACCAGAAGGTTGTTTCTCAGGTCCGCCTAGCCCAGCCTTTTCTCTGGATAGCAACAGCCCCTTTGCAAACGGCTTACTCCACTTTGAGTCGACTTTGTTCGAGGGCGAGGAAAATGATGAAGAGCCTGGAACCGTGTCACCCATTGGAGATATGCTGGACCATGACAAGAAAACTGAGCCTGTTCCTCAGTCTCCACCCAGAAACATAAACTTGGACGCAAAGGATGCGGCGCTGCCATCAGCTAAGGTGGTCACACGCTCTCAGTCCTCAGGTCAACGCAGGAGATACTGGGACGGCTCGGAGGACGAGTGGGACAGCGACACCGAGCTGTTCCTGTTTGAAGACTGTCCATTTCTGCATTCAGTGGCAAGTTTTACCTCAAGCAACACACCTCTCAGATAAATGTGCCGTTTTTCCCATGTAATCCATAATGTAAAAGATGAGCATAATTCAGAACTCTAAACACTTTGTTGACATTGACCTGTTATTACAAGCACTAGTCAGTCATGAGCTGAGATTTAAAAACAGAAGGTTTACCAATAAAAATGCACCATCCTTCAGAAACTGTTCAAGTTCAAGTTCAGTTTATTCACAGCGGGTAAAATAAGTATTGAACACGTCACCATTTTTCTCAGTAAATATATTACTAGAGGTGCTAATG